AGTTAACCCTTCTGGTTCCAGGTCTTCGGATGCACTCATGACACATGTGTCATTCATCCACAGGTAGAGTGGGGATTACAATGTGATCCTGCTGTTATTAAGATCAGTGGCATACCAGTGGCTATTCCTCATTATTGGCCATCTAATGATTCTATCTAATACAAAGGATCTCCCTCACCTCATAACCACTGTTATCATAGTATAATCCATACTTTCCCTTCTGTGCCTCTCTCCCAACATCTCCAGGGCTCACAATGCAATCCACACACTCTCACAGTCATTCATCTTTAATACAATAAATAATAATGTACCTTCAACTCAATGCTGACTTATAGCGACCGTTTTCAAGGTTTTCTAGGTAAAGAGTACCATAGTTTTCCATGTATATGACGACCCTCTAATTTTGACCCTTGCCGGAGGTGGAGGAGCAGTTAATGGGCAACTGCTCCATCACCTCCGTCTGCTGTTGCTGCTGCCTCCGCCACCCGATCACCTCCTCCATTACGACTGCCGGGGCTCAACTCCAGCTTACATCGCTGCCGCCTTGTCCCCTGCCAGAAGGGAGCACTGGAGGAATTGATGTGGCAGCAGCAGTCAATGGGCAGCAGCAAGAGGCACCCGAGCGCGAGTGAGTGCTTCCGCCTCCTGCTGCTGCTGCCTCCACCACCAGAGGGGACAAGGCGGTGATGTGAACTCTGGAGGAGGCAATCGGGCGGCACCAAAAGTCAATGGGCAGCAGCAAGAGGTGCCTGAGCACGCACGAGTGCTCCTTTGCCTCTGCTTCCTGCTATTGCTGCCTCTGCCACTGGAGGGGACAAGGCAGCAACGTGAGCTGGAGGTGAGCCCCGGCAGTCACACTGGAGGAGGGTGGCAACAGCAGCAGCAAGAGGTGCAAAAGCGCATGCGAGTGCTCCTATGCCTCTGCCTCCTTCCGTGTATAAAACGACCCTCCATTTTCCCCCTAATTATTTTACCAAAATGTGTCATTTTATACATGGAAAAATACAGTACTCAGAATTACTTTGCCATTCCCTTCTTCTGGGGGCATGTTGGGACTGTGGCTGGCTCTACTCATAAGAGGCACAGTGGGAAATTGAACTTCCAAACAAAGAACTTGAAACAGAGAAGGAAAACATGGTCCTCCGGTCTCCTCCATCTAGAATTTACACTAACACAAAACTAGAGCTATATAAAATTTCCAGAAGCAGAAATACAACTGTATTGACACATGAAATCTAGAAGAAATGTTATTTGCTTAAATATTTACAAAACTTACACTCAAGGCCCACACTTCTGTGCAGTTTAGTCCCAAGAAAGCATGCACAGAACTGCAGCTTCCACAGCATAAATGCCTTACACTGCAATTCTATACATACATACAAATGGACTTTCTGACAGATAGGCCACAGTCAGTTAGGATGGGATCTCACCATTCTTCTACCCTGGTACGAAGTACAGGAGCTCCTCAGGGCTGTGTGCTAAGTCCCTTCCTCTATTCTCTGTACACCAGGGGTTTTAAACTCACTTTACCTGGGGGCCGCTAGAGGCAGAGTCTGGGTGAGGCTGGGCCGCATCAGATTTTCCACCAAGCGGAGCAAGAGCCCGAGGAAGCCGCCCAGGAGTTTCCTTAGCTGACAGACAGGTGGGCTGGCTGGCAGGCTGCAGTTCTGGATGGAGGGTGCAAGAGGTGCTGTCTTGGGAGAGAGCCGGCGAGCGAGGCAAGGG